CTCTCCTGCATCGTGCGCGTTCGCAGCGCGCCGCGCGTCACCTGGGGTTTCAGGGCAATCCCAGTTGCTCTCGTGAAATACCCTGTTATTTCACAGTGCCCTGAAGACTGCAGGGCAGGATATTTATAGCAGTGCATGATGATCCTGGTGGAAAATAAACAGGACGGTCTGTTATTTATTCCACCATGGGGATATTGGGCTGAAACCAACCACTGATATGCGCAAAGCTGCACCCTAACAGGCCTGTTCGCAGCTCAGCTTCTAGTGTAATGATTGCATAGGTGATAACTCAGTCATGAAAGCTGCAGGTGATATTTCATTGATGTTGTTACTCTTAGCTTCTTCCCGGTAAAATGAGGGTGTTTCTTCCTCCTTCACGTTGCGAGGGGCGCGCTGGCCGCCCGGCCGCCTCGTGCAGGGCTTGGCTGGGCTTGGTGCTCCGCAGCAGCGCAGAAACGCGTGGGCCCGCGCGCCGGCTGCCTTGCGCAGATAGCAGAGAGGAGAGGAGCTGCGTTAGAGCCCGCCGTGTTCCCTCTCTGGACATGCCGGCGGAGGAGAGGACCTCGGGGAGGGCAGAGGCGCTCGGCAGCGCCGCGGTCCCGCTCTGCCCCGGTGGAACGGCGCTCCTTGGCTCCTGCCAACGCTGTTTGGGCTTGCGCAGGCCGCTATCTGCACAACACTCGATAGCCGGCAAGGGCAGCCGCCTGCTTTGGTTACTGCCTGCTGCTTTTTTTAAAACAAACAAACAACGAGCCCGGCATTTGCATAGTGTCTCGTCTCCTCTTTGGCTTAATGTTTTAGTCTAAATAAAGCTTATCACTTGTGCTGTGTGTTTTCCGTGTATCTGCACGGACAGGCTGCTTTATTTTGCAAAAATACACGATTACCGTTATCGTATTCCGGACTCGTTCCTGGGTGAAGCCGGTGCGGTTCCTGAGCCCGCGCCGAGTGACCCGGGGCCGGGCGCAGGGCCGGGGTGTCCGGAGGCCGCGGCGCTCCCCCTCGGAGGCTGGTGCCGCAGGAGCGAGCACAGTGCTGTTCTGCTGACCGTGTGCAGGGCAATCAACAGTAACGCTTCTTTCTTCTTTTCTTTCCTTGCAGCCCATGTTTTCAGTTGCACCAAGCTTAGCCACCAATGCATCAGCCGCCTTTAATCCCTACCTGGGGCCTGTCTCCCCAGGCTTGGTCCCAGCAGAGATCCTTCCCACGGCGCCCATGCAGGAACCCCTGGCGTCCGGGTCCCTGCCGCCGCCGCCGCCGCTGCCCAAAAGCTAATGCGGACAGACAGACTGGAGGTAGGAACTCCTATACGTAATCCACCGACACAAGCAGTGTCATTTATCATGTCTCCTAGTCATAAAATCTTTTTCTTGCAAAAGAAGATCACGTAAGTGTTGATTGAGCTGCTAATGTCACCTCTTGATGTGGGGGCTAAGGACAGACAGTGAGTGAATGACCAAGACACAAGTGAGTGAATGCTTGTAGGTGAGTGAATGCTTGTAGGTGAGTGAATGCTTGTAGGTGTTCCGGCCGCCTGCTGCGGAAGGAGCAGGGACGTGGAGCCCTTCTGCACCCAGCCACGGCAGCAGCGAGGTGCCCAGAGGCCGTGTGAACGTGTGGAAGGGAGAGCACGGACGGAAACACCCAGCTGGGAGAGGGGGCAGCACTTCAGCCATTGGCATTGAAGATCGTCTGCAGTTTTGTCTCCTTTTGGGCAGGACACGTGGTGTTAGCACCTCCTCGGCCACCTCCTCGGTGCCGTTCGCCACCCTCTGCAGCGCCCGCGCAGGCGCTGCCCCCTCTAGCTGCTGCTCGCGCTCGGTCTCCCTTATCTGCAGCGCGTGGCGGTGCTTCCAGCGCGTTATCGCACCGGGCGGCGTGTGCCGAGGGGCAGCAGAGTGTACCAAGGGGCAGCGTGTGCTGAGGGATGGCACCGTGTGCCGAGGGGTGACACCGTGTGGTGAGGGGCAGCAGAGTGTACCAAGGGGCAGCGTGTGCTGAGGGATGGCACCGTGTGCCGAGGGGTGACACCGTGTGGTGAGGGGCAGCAGAGTGTACCAAGGGGCAGCGTGTGCTGAGGGATGGCACAGTGTGCCGAGGGGCAGCAGCGTGTGCCGAGCGGTGACACCATGTGCCGAGGGGTGACACCGTGTGCAAAGGGGCAGCGTGTGGCACCTTGGCAGTCCCCACGGCCGCAGCAGGCCTGGTGTCTGGGCCGGGTGCCCTGGCAGGCCGCACCGCGGTAGCCGTGGGTGCGCAGGGCCCTGAGGTCCCGTGCAGCCTCCGAGGTTTTGTGCTGCAGGTCGGTGGGGCTGACTCTGGATCTGCTTCCTGCATCCGCAGGGAGCGAGATGGGCAGAGGGCACCGCGGCTCTGTTTTGAAATGCAGTCTCTGTAGCCGCGATGCCTCTTTCCGCCTGTGCATCCGCGCTGATAGCAGCTCTGTCTCCTTACAAGGAAAGTTCATTCCCTTTCGTCAGTCATTTTGCCTCTGACTGACAAGCAGCGGCTTGGAAAGCAGGGAGTGAGAAGCAGCGGTGTCACCTGGCACCGAGCGCTTCCCGGGGCCGCCGCCGCGGCTATTCCCAGAGCTGACATCATCCCGGTTCCCCTTTCGCAGCTCACATCACGTCCCCTCTCAGAGCTGTTTTCTCTGAGCACGGAGCTCCCTGGACACCCGCGTGTCGCTGGTTCGCCCGGGGGCGGCTCCCTTTGGTGGGTCCTTGCCAGAGGTGCTTTGCACACACAGCACGGTTAGCTCCGTGCACACCCGGGCTCCACGCGCCCCGCGCTCCGGTCTCGCCGTTGGGCTCAGCAGAGCTGAACCCGCAGAGCTCCCCTGTGTGCGGCAGGGCGCAGCGTGCCGAGGAGCAGGCGCGTTTGCTTTGAGCCTCAGTGGGAAAGAGAGTTGTGGCCGAGGGAGCTCCCAGCGTTCCGCGTCTCCTTCCCTGCCTTCCCTTGGCCCTGCTGCCTGCCGCAGCAGCAGCACCGTGAAGTTCACCTAAGAGAACAATCCGGCTTCCTGCCGCCTCGGAGCTGCCTCCGTTGGCCTCTCGCGCTGACTGGCACGGGGAGCACATCCAGGTCTGCCCCCGACCCTGCGCTTTCCCCTGAGCCGCGTCTGCAAAAATAGCAACTGCCAGGGAGAGGGTTGCGGGGGGAGGTTGTGTCTTCTTTTTCCCTCTAGAAAGTGCATTTTAAGCAGTGGAATGTGTAGATGAGGACATAACCTGCCCGCACTTCCAGGTGTGTTGGCCGTCTGACGTGGGGACTACCTGGCTTTAATGTATGGCTCCTGGCTGAGCGAATCATCCTTCGCTCAGGTCTCAGTTGTGAGCATGCAGAGCCAGCTGCAGGTTCCACGCGCTGCGGCTGCGCCAGGCGGCCGTCCCGCGGCGCGCGGTCACCTGCTCCGCGCCGGCGCGGCGCTGCGCGTCCTGTCATCCCTTCCTGCGCCATCGCAGCTTTATATGGCCTAGCGCTCCCTTGGAATGAAGTGTCTCCTGAAAAAAATAACTGCTCTGAGGTTAGTGTCTAATCCTGGAATATGAGTTGTTCTGTTTAGAATTTTAAATACATATTTTCAAGAACGATGTACTTTGCCATTAATTAAGTTAGCGCACGTGCTCGAGATACTTGACAGGGCGCTGCGCAGTTGAAAGCTCTCAGTAAATGGATCGAGAGCTTTAGGGGGAGCAGGCAGACAGCGCTGACCTGTGGGCTGGTGCCTGCGCTCTGCTGGTAGATAGGAATGCAGCAGGATGGAGCCGGTGCCTGCAGCTAGGGCAGGACTGATGTCCCCGCGTCTGGTCCGCGTGGCCAGGCTCGCTGCAGCAGCTCCGGGTGTCCCCGCGGGTCATCTCGCCTCCTGCTCGGGAGCGCGTGCCCTCCGGAGCAGCCTGGGCCTCTGCGTTACGTTCCTGAGGGTACCGAGTTGACAATTACGATATTAATTACAGGGTTGCCTAAAAATAAACAAACAATAGATGAAAGCTCTCCAGATTGCAAAGACCAGGCCAAATGCCATGCCTCCATGCCTCTCCCTGCTTAAGCAGATGGGTGATGTATGACTGTGTGCCTGTGGCAAAAACACATCCTTTTCAATGCCTGTTTGTAAACAAACGGGAACTGGACGCTGCCGCGCGTTCCTGGGCAGCACCGCGGTGCTGGAGAGCCAGGCTGCGCGCACGGACTGCGGCGACCGGCAGCGTGAGGCTTGTGCCGCGTGCAGGCAGCCACGGTTCAGCCTTCGGTTGAAGGGGGCTGTGAGGGAACCAGTCACGGCCTTATCTAGCTACTGCATCACAGCTGCCTCCGAGTTTGCGGTGTCCATGCCAAAGATCCTCCTTATCTGCCTCACTATTTCACTTTTCTGGTCATTTTTCTTTGGCTTTT